TTTTTTTTTTTTTTTTTTTTTTTTTTGTTTTTGTTTTTGTTTTTGTTTTCGTCGCGTGAATCGATGCATGCACAAACACACACGTAGAAGACGAGTACACACGACAGTCTCACGCGTCATAGTCATGTACCATCATGCTTCATTTTTTTTTTTTTTCCTCTGTACATTCGAACGTATATATTTACATACGTGTCACTAGATAGGCGATAGAATTTCAGTCAGATTTCTTTCTTTTTTTTTTTTTTTTTTTTTTTTTTCTCTTTTCATCCAAAGAGCAAGTCTTGACTGACGATGTATAATATTCGTAATAACGTTAGCATAAGACTGTAATTGCTGATCGTGGAATCGATCGTTCTGATTAATCACTACGATATATCTATATAAGTATTTTATTTTATTATAAGTTCACGTTGTTATTAGTGTCGAGGATGAAAAAAAGTATTTGGGTAAAATAGATTTTAGATGATCAGCTTGTGGAGTCGGATATCGGTTACTCTCTAACAAATAGAATTATATTATTGTCGATGTTATTATTAATTAATTAATTAACAGCTTTGGGTTTAGTACGTATACGCAACTATACAATGGTCCTATGTTAGTTTATCACTCTTTTAGGTGTAGATCGTCAGTCAGTACAAGCTCATAGTCATATTAGCGCAGTCATTGTTACTTTATAATAACAACGTTTTACGCTGTGTACGGTTAGATAAGTAACCAAACGCGTCGCGTCGACGCGTATTTAAATAACAGTAGCTCACCACTAATGCGAAAGAAAAAAAAAAAATAAAAGAAAACGATTTCTTTTTCTTTNTTTTTTTTTTTTTTTTTTTTTTTTTTTGAAAACGTACCGTAATATTATAACGATGGTTCTAGTTGTGATATTTTATTAATTATAAGATCCAATATTTTCGATGCACGATGTTATTTTGGTCGGGCTTTTAGATAGGCCAACGTGCATGACGCGTTATATATATATATAAAACATATAAAAAGAAAAAAAATAGTATAGTGTTTGTCGTTAACGATCGAGAAGGTTATACGTTATCATACGATTGTCACTTTCGATAGGATGGTGATACTGACGTTACCTTAGCTGCTCATCGTCCAATTTGTTTCGAATTCTTTGATTTCTTTTCTTATTCTCAAGCTTCTTTTTTTTTTTTTTTTCTCTCGTTTTTTTTCTCTCGCGAATTTTTTGCTTCGAGTGACAGAGTGATAGATTAGACGATGTTTGTGATAGATTTTTACTTCCATACTTTTTACCACGTTAGAGGGAAAATTGTGCTAAAAAAAGAAAAAAGATACGATATTTTCTAGGATAGATCGTTACATTGTTGGGCGCAAGCGTAACAGTTTACCTCTTCCTTTCGGGTGACACGATGATACATAACATAATACATTCAGAAAAAAAAGAAAAAAAGAAGAAAAACAAGGAACACATGTACAAAATACACCTACATAATACACGTACGATTATAAGCGTGCGCGTTCATACGCGTACGTGCACATACATGTATACACTCGAAGCTATAGAGATATATATATATATAATATTATTTTAATCATTTTTAAATTTGTACATATATTTCTTATCGCATCAGGGCAGAAGGGAGCGGAGTGATTTCTTAGTGTCTAGGTGTAGTGCCTAAAATGTTAATGAGATTGTGTCCAATAGAAAATTTATTTAGTGTGTGGAATCTCTAATGCTCGATCCCGAGTGCTCGTGCATGGAACTTTGGAACTCGAAATTTTTTCGTTCGACTCTGGACGAAAGAGAGGAAAAATAATGATTAATAACGATAATAGGAAAAGAAAAGAGAGCATTTTTCGAAAAAAACTGACGGATCGATTTCTGTACACGAGTATTCGGTGTCGTAAAATAATGTTCGACGAACGAGGTTAGAACAACTGTTATAATAACGGATTCAACTCTCGTTGAAATGGCCAGAAATGAAAAAAAGAAAAAAAAAAAAAATAAGAAAAAATACGAAAGGATAAATAAAAGAGAAAGAAAGAAAAAAAGAAGGGAAATCCACAGATAAAATTACGTTTTTTTGTGGACTTAGAATTTAATGTTCATCGCGTTGTATGGATAGTTCGTATAAAATTATATATATATATATATATATATATATTATATATATATATATTATCACTGTAAAACAAAGTAACTGATTTTTTGCGAGGAATAGATAGCGTAGTTATTACAAATATAGGAGAGAATAACATATTTTTGGAGTTACTACTAGAGGATTGATATTGTATTGTGCTCTGTGAATTCTTAAACGTCTGTCTTCTTACGTTCTTGGTCTTTAATCGTCGGATTGCTCATCACGATCGGACCACATTTACATTTAGAAACGAATAATGAAAAACAAAAAAAAAAAAAAAAAAAGAAAAGAAAAAAAAAAGAAAAAAGAAAAAGAAAAAAAGAAGAAGCAGAGAGAGAAAAAAAAAACACAAACGGCGTATACTATATCGACGTATATGTGTATGTATATACGATATACTTGTCCTAAATTTCGGTTGGTCGCGAACTCGTCAACTAGAATTTTGCTCACGATCCCATACGCACGAATTCTTTGTTCGGTTTACGTGTGCGCGCGATCTCATAGATTATATATATATATATATATCTATCTAATATATATTAGATATATATATATACACCGTGCAAAGAGAAATTACAATAGCTCGTAGTTTTAATTCGTACCTTGAGACTTCTCTTAAAAACGATTCAAAATTTTGATGAAATTTTGAATTGAGACGAACTGCGAAGACCGCGGTTAAGATAAAAGATGTTTCCTCTTTTGTTGATTTTTTTTTTCTTTTTCTCTTTTATTTTTTTTTTTTTTTTAATTTCTTTCGTTTCCTTTTCTTCTGCTCCGTATCGTAACGAAACAGGTAAATGAAGTCCGATTAGAGAGGCAAGAAGTAAATGATAGAACGTGCGGGTAAAATTAGGATAGAATCGACGATTCACATCTGACTGTTCTTCGATGTTCTTAATGTTCACTATTATACTATGGTAATATTGCAAATAATATTAACGGTAGTACTTGTATTATATCGTTTGTCAACAATTATGCATAATGTTATACGAATAAGGGGCTAATCTATTAATAGTTTTTAACGAAAATGGGGAGGGGGAGGGGGAAAGAAACACTCGTGTAAACACATCACTGCTGCTTAGACATTGTTATATTGTTATATAATACGATTTTTCTCGTCTTTAATGGGTGACGGAATTAGGATCGATAATTAGAGACATTAAGCCTTGGCATAGTTTGATAGTATTCGCTGTGGAAGAAAGTAGAAATTTTGGTGTTTCGATGTTCGTACGATTTAGAATATAGAATTTTTCTTTCTTCTACTTCTAGTTTTCTTTTTTTGTAATACGTTTCCTTCTTTTTCAAGCGTTCGATTTCAACGAAACGCGCGTTCCCATTTTTTTTCGTTTCGCGCCACGTGGAAGAAACATTCTTCACTTTGGACTACTTATTTACCAGATCGGTATTTTCACAAAGAAAGAAAGAAACTATTTTCGAGCGAACAAACTTTTTTTTTTTTCTTCTATAGGTAGTTTTGGAGATATTGGTCGTTTATTCTTCACCAGTGTTCAAAGGATTCTCCTCGGTTCGGGATTCCTTCCACGAGATTTTCAATCGTACGAAAATCTAATTTCTATCCATGGATTTCTATTTCCATAACTTTGAAATAATGAAAGTTAAAACTAAACTGAAAAAAAAACTAAAGATGAGATTCGGTGAGGAAAGAAAGAAAGAAAGAAATAATGTAACGAAGTTAAAACAGGTCTATCTAAAACTTCTTTAAAACTTAGAACTTTATACAATCGTACGAATAAGACGAATTCGCTGTTACAGATAAATCTATTCGCTATATGGCTATATTATATATTTGTACCGCCTATGAATGTTCGCCTTTTGTGTATTTTAATTATACTATGATAGCAGTAGCACTATTTGTAACTATTATTATTATTGGATAACGGATTTAACATCGTTGTGATTACAAATTATTGTATTGTTTCATTCGTGTCGTATGGGCTGATACAACATATCTTGTTGTATCTTTTAATTAATTTTTTTTAATCAACCTAAATTGATCGTAAGATATCTTGGAAAAATAAGGAATATATATATATATACATATGGATCTTTTCATCCATCTTCCACGACGACAGTGTGTTTAGTATCTTTTCGTTCTCTGATCGTAATTTTCTCTTCCACTTGTTCGAAAAGAAGCCGGGCTTGTTCGGAAAGGTGACAAAAAAAAAAAAACAAATTCTTTTTTTTTTTTTCTCAAAATTCTCGAACTTTTCAGTTCAGATTTTTCACTCGTCTTTTCCCTTTCTTCTTGTTTAATCCTTTTTACGCGAAGAATTTTCATAGCATTGCCTTATCGCGGTAACATTATCATCGATACATGTATAATAGTTACACTAATATACACGTACACATATACACACACACACACATGTTGAGAGGATAAGTCCTTCGTGCCGTCGATTAATATTGACATTGTTTGCCAAACTTCTTTATCCTATACGTAACGAATACAAATGTATAAATGTGTAAATTATCGTTAACCACGTGTCACCGAATTCATCGAAAGTTTTGAACAAGGTCGATCGTTCTCGATTTCGTTCTTGAATCGAAAAAAAAGTCGAATTGTATACTTCGCGGTGTCAGGTAAAATTTCAAGAGAAAAAAAAAATAAATAAATAAATAAAAAATTCGAAAAGAAACGAACGTTAAACTCGTCGATGGATTCGGATTACACGTGGATCCTTCGTACGATCGCGCATCCAGCAACATAGCATAAACCCCGATCGATCGCTGTCGTAGCGAGTGTAAAATGAAGTTTCTAAATGGCGGTATTTAGCTTAGAAAAACGAACGAAGAGATAAAAAGGAAAAGGCAGGGGAGGGGAAGAGAGAGAAAGAGAGAGAGAGAGAGAGAGAATGAGTGAAACACACAAGTATACACACGTAGGAGGAAAGGAGAAGAAAAAGAAAAAGTTTTTTTAAGCTTTCGCAGAAAGTCTGTCTTAAAGTATTAAAACTCTCAGGCTGCGCCGATTGTCTTTGCCGCGTGCGTAATGGCGGCCGCACGGTCGCGGAGTCGTCGAACGAGAATGGTGTACAACAGATATCCGAGCATCCGAGAGACGGCATTTTTTTCTGTCTACCGCTTTTCACTTTGCGCGACTTCCGCTGTAGAATTGTAGAACGCAGAAGAAGGCGCAAGTTGTATTCGCGATATCGAATAGGAGGGAAGAAACGGTTTATGAAATCGACCAACGGTTTTTCTCTTCTCGTGTTTGTTTACGAACGATCGAATCAGCTTAAAAAAACGCATGGCCTGTAAAAGTGTGTATATCGGTGTGTCGAAACTACCGAGTGCAACCACTCGTACTCGTCGACTCGTCAAATTTATTTACTAGTAGAGCGTGCCTTATATATCGACGATCCATGCAGAATATCTTCTAGAATTTCGTTTTTTCGACCGGACTAATTATTTTCGTTAACTTGAAATTCGATTCCTCTCGCGTTTTTATGCTCGGTTATTTCGTTGAACACCGTTTCTCTCTTTACACACATACACATACATACACATATATACATATACATATATATATATACATATACATATATGAATATACATCATATACATATATAAAAATTGTATAATAGAAGGCAAAGAAAAATTGAGATATCCACTGCTTGCGCGTGCGATGAATTATTTCAGAGGTCGACCAGAGTACAAAGCATAGGTTTAGTTTGGTCTCGGAAATAGTTTGTGCACGAACTATACGGAACTATACGAGTCGAATCCGAATGTCGTCGTTGTCGTCGTCGAATATTAGAAAAACTGTTGGAAAAAATTGGTAATAATAATAAGTTTCGAGAGAAAGGAATTGTTATATAGAATAGCGAACGAGAAAGAAAGAAAGGGAAAAAAAAAAGAAGAAGAAGAAAGGGTAGAAAAAACCTGCGAAAGAACCGCTGCGTTACGGTTCACGGCGTTGGGTCGACCGACCGCGACGAGTCCCTGTTCTTTGGCTTCACTTTAGTGTGTCTGACAATAAACGCTTCGTTGGAAAAGAACGATGGAAAACGAACGACAATTATAAATCAATCAGCAGACAAATCAAAAAGTATTTAGGCTTTAAATTGTACGGTGAATCAAACGATTGATCGAAATCTTCTTCGTCACTGTCGACCGACACGACGTTTCGATACTGTAATGGAGTTATGGAACATTATAATATCATCTAGTAGATAAACCGAAAAATTCTAATCTCATCTCGAGGTGGCTCGTCACTACCGAAATCTATAGATAATTACACGTAGAAAATCTCGTCTCGATTAGAGAAAAAAAAAAAATAAATAAATAAAACAATCGACTATCGACTGAATATTTTTCTCTGTTAATAATAATAATAATAATAATAATAATAATGATGATGATGATGATGATGATGATGATGATGATGATGATGATGATGATGATGATGATAATAAAATTCGTTTTTTGGATTTTATCGAAATTTTGGTGGTGACGAGCTCCCCGTATTTTCGACAACAGGGGTTTTGACTAATCGGTGACGACTTACTTAACGAACGTTTCTCAATTTTTAAGTCGCGCATCGGCATTTAGGTGCATACATCCTGGGGGCAAAAAGTCTATTTGATATTTATATTTTAATATACACGGGCCGATTATATTTAGTGTATTGTAATTATTGAATATTAATTGAAAGCCCCGGGGACTGCTCGTCCAGCGACAAATTAAAATCGAACTACAATTGCGAACTAATGGGAGATAAAATTGATTCGATGGACGAGCAGGCTAGCAGGGACGAGAACCACAATTTTCTGTATATTACTGTAGTATAATAATCAAACACTAAAGACTAATGCTTAAGGTGATCGACGAGAGCTTCGATGCTCTTTGAAGCCGCGTAAAAAAATGTAATCAAGAAAATAAGCTATGCAACTTGAACAATTGATAATTAGCAAAAAAAAAAAAAAGAAAAAAACAAGAAAGAAAAAAGAAGAAATGAATAAACGAAAAGAAACATTTAAAATAATAATAAATAATAAATAATAATAATAATAATAATAATAATAATAATAATAATAACAATAACAATAAAAATGCAAAAAGTATAAACGACAGAGAAAGAAAGAGAAAAGTTCACGCAAGCATCACTATGTTCTAAATAGTTAATAAATGCAGATGTCCGTGTATTCGCTCGGACACTTTTTCAACTGAATTTTCGCTGTCTTTTTACGGCTCTATTCTTTGTCAAACGTTGTCTCCCTTTTTTCTCTCTTTTATGCTACGGCCGCGAATCCTTATTCCAATCATCATCCGATCGACGAGTCTGTTTTATCCTTTTCGTCGATAAACAACAGAGATAACTGTATCGTCCACGTTCTCACACCTTCTCATACGCTTGAAAGGAAGTCGTATCAGGAAAAGAAAAGAAATATCGGGTATAGCCAACACCGGTTTCACTTCCCGCGTTTTTTTTTTAGTTTTTCTTACAATCTCAATACTCTTGTGTCTTGCACGTTGTGTGCAACGGGAAGAGATCTCGTCGTGTCGATTGAAAAATATTTAAGCAAAAGGATTGTCGTTGAACAATCGAGACAATTCGTGAGAGATCGACGTGAATCAAAAAAAAAAAAAAAAAAATCGAGAAAAGAAAAAAAACCGGACAAATGCATCGCCGAACATTCCCCAAGTACCAGCCAATTCCGGAAAGAAGCTTTTGAAAAGAGAAGAGAGAAAAGAAAAAAATTATAGTTCACTACTAGTTCGTGTGTAATTTATGTACCTGTTATCACTTAAGCACGCAATCAAACGAACCGTTCGATCGGAATAAAAAAGGAAAAAAAAGAAAAAAAAAATTAACGATCAACGTGGAACATTTGATCAAAACAAAAAAAAAAAAGTCTCACGTTCTTATAAGCCATAGGTGAAAAACTCGTTCGTTAATAGAAGTGGAAGAGGAGCAAACGAAACGTCCCTTTTTTATAACTTTGCATCGAACTCGACGAACCACGCTGGCGAATTCTTTCTCCTCGGGCACGAACAAAAAAATTTTAGCCCGTGTCTATGTTCGCTACGTGTTTCTTCTCTGTTTCTATAACTGTGCTTTTAGCGCGATACGTTTCGAACACATTTTTACGTGATGCATTTACACACATACACATACACACATATATACATACACACAAATAATGGAAACGTGTAACGTACTGGATTTTTATTCGAACCTTACTCGTAGAACACGTATTTAAAAAACAGTCTAATTGTACGATAAAAATTTAGAAAGCAACAAGAATTTCATAGCGCGCAAAAGTAATGACACATTGTATACACGTACATACAGTTAGTAATGTGTATTCTTCGAATGTAAGTTTCTCGTAGTTTTTTAATCGTGTTAGTTATTAAAGTTAACTATCTGTCCTAAGTAATTGACCAAAACGGACTAATCTTTATCTTCTTAGAAAGTTACGGTAAAGCGACTGAGCGATTCGATATATTTGAAAGTACTCGAATAGTACTCGACAAGTACTCAAGAGTACTCGCAAAAGATCTCGTCTTTCTGAATCTTTCTTAGAATCCAGATTTTGCGTTTACTAATTTCTAAAAAAATAAAAATTTAGTGACTTTTCCAAATTGAATTGTGTAGCTTCGGTCTAGAAAAGAACATATCAAACGTGTCACGGTCGTCGATACCAAAAATTTGATATCCATTCTCCTCTTAAAAGATTTCTATTGAAAAAAAAAAAAAGAAAAAAGAAAGAAAAAAGACAGGAAAGTTAAACACCTATATATCCCTTTCCTTTTTTTTGTTCGCCTTTAATTTTTCGAAAAACATAGCATTCACCTAGATAGTACAATAAAGAGTAGAAATTCCTCGCGAACGTGAAAAAAAGCGGGGATTTTTAATCACGAATTCACGCGCATCTTGATTAACCGAAGTAGTCAAATTGCAAAACATATTAGATGTAATTTAAACGAATTGAAAACCGACCGTGCGGTAGTTACCACTTTCCAAATATGCATTTTCATCATGATTGATAGTAAAAATTGGTTCGAGATTGGTAATATATCTTGGTCTATGATAAATCGCACACAAAAATGTTAAGAAACGCAGAAAGCTTTGAAATAACAATAATTAACAATATAATTACAATTTTGGCAAGATAAAAAATAAAAAGAAAATCTGAAAAAAAAGATATGTATATATATATAAGTATTAACGCGTCTTTCTCGTATCGTACATTATCATTTCATTTTCAATCTAATGTAATATTTCATAAAAAATAAATAAATTTTTTTTAAGAAGGAGAAAAGTAATTTTTCAAGAATATGTAGTAGTGATCTCGTTCAAATTCAACGACTTACTTTAGTATCGTTTAAAGTTTGTTTATTGCAAGTAAAAATTTCGAAATTTAGGATAAAAAAAAAAAGGAAATGGATTACATACTATTTAAGCATGCGACTGAAATTACCGCAATATTGTGTAACATGGTAGAAAATGATAGTCAACGATTGTATAAAGAAAATATGACATTTATGAGCAATGTTATATAAGTATGTGTATATATATATATATATATATATAAAAGTACATACATATACATATATGCGTATACTTGTAATAATTGATAAAACCAGGGTAAAAATTATTATCTATGTGTAATATTTAAAGGGCGCCTGGCGTGCAACTTGCGCACAGTTGCTCTGTATGTTTCTGTAATAGTTATGCGTGTTTGCATTTTCGAAATAGAAGAAGAAAATGTATATTATATAATATTAATATTAACAATAATAACGATAGACATGCCCGGCGACACACCTAATTGTAAATAACGGTAATAAGAATTAATTGCAAATCTTTCTCTCAATTCGTTTAACACGCTCTCCTTGTCCGTGTAAACGCGTTGAGAATCTTAATATTTAATATTTAAAAAAAAAAAAAAAAGAAAAGGAGAGATGAGAAACAAAAATATCGTTTCGTGTAACATTGCAGAAAAGATTGAGAGAAGAAAAAAAACAAGTAACTAAGTAGACTGTCGTAGATTTATTACTCGTTATTATTGCTCCTGCCTATTCGCAAACTTTGACTGTAATTATCTTGTAAACACGTTGGACCAAGTCGTTGTGAGCACTAGCCGTAAATTGTAGAATATCGTTCCGGCGGTTTCGTGATCGTCGAAACGCTTTACTTTAAACGCTCGAACAGAAATTCTGGTAGCTTGTATCAAGGATACCAATGTCCAAGCGAAAATACCGATCTAATAAAAAATGTTTATTGTTTTACAGTATTAAAAAAACATCATTGTCTGCACAACATATTCCATAACTTTTGCGCCCATCTCACCATAATCCAATATTATATTTCCTTAAACATATTGTTTATACAGCTATACAAAAGTATGCATTGATTTAAATATTTGACAAACTTTTGACAAAATTTTGACAAAATTTAATATTCAAGATCAATTGATTAAAAAATATTACTGATTTTATTATGACAGAATTTGTGTTTAAATACTCGAATAATTCGTATCTATCAATTTTTATTCTCATCAATGGTCATCGAATCATAATTTAATTGATTTTAATTTTTAGTAATCAAAGTAAAAAAATATAAAAAATATTGCACAAGTGTGAACGAAAATACAGGCTACAAGAGATGCTATACTATTTACTTTAAAGGAGTCAAGTTCTGGTCGAACTTTTTTCTATTTTGTACACGCAACGCTCACATCGACAAGGCTTGCAAAACGAAAGACTTGGTAGAATTCAAAATATTTGCTAAATTTTACTATCGTGTTATCTCTTGCGAATTGCTTGGACTTTTACAAGATTATCGTGTTGGTACTTTCTGAAAAAGTTAAAAAAGAAAAGAAAAAAGAGAAAGAAATACTTTTAACTTCCAATTAGATCCAAACGCGAAATCGTTTGTAAATAAAATGAACATTCTTATATTAGTAAAAATAGCTTTTCACAGCACTCGTTTCTTTTCGGTAATAGCGCCAACGAAGATCACGTAAACCGTTTTCGTATGATATAAAAAAAAATCTAGTAAAATCACGATAAACAATTGGAAAGTTATTTATCAATATATCAATGTTGCATCGTTTGTGTAATAACGTTAAACGGCAAATTACTACTGTCATGATATAATATTGATAGACCGATGATAATAATGTGACGATACTATTACAAAGTGAATGTTGCCTTTTATCACATTGATTAATCATAATAAAGAAGAAAATCTTAATAAATTACGTACGATTGTATTAACGACGACTAGTAATTATAAATACTATTATATTACAAGTACTAACAATTACTATGTACAATATGGAGGTTCGTATGATTGTAAATGATATGTGTTGCGTTGATATGTAACGCGTCCCTATATTAAAATAGGGGCTGTGAAAATAAATCAACCAGACATTTTGTTGGCCTTCTATATTGCCCTGACACACAGGAATATTATATATACATATATATATATACGTATATATATATATATATATATATTTGATATGAATTGACTGAAATGTTTTTAATAAACACTAGTGCCTCAAATGTGACAAATTTTAGTTATTTTCATTTATTTTTTGCTCACAGGTATAGTATAAATACTACATCTACATGCACAAAAACGGAATTAACTTTCAACGAATATGTGCGATTTTATCATTCCATTTTTTATCAGTCAGTATTTATTGGAATAAATGTGCTTGCCAATATTATCGGCAACTTATTATAAAATATAGATGCTTTCAAATCCACCATTGTTGACATATAACAAATTGAAATATAATTAACCAGAATGATTATTTGCACCTTGATTTCCTATAATTTCTGTTTGCATTTGTGTTGTGTGTTCGATTAAAGTCTTTGATGGTATATGAAAAAAGTATCGCATAAATCCTATTGCCAATAAAAGGTGCATACCAAGGATTATTACAATATACATTATCCTATACCTGCCTGAAAATTAATATATTCTATCAATTTATTCTCATTGTTTTAGAAATATATTTATAATGCAATACCTGTTATTAAAGGCAACAAAGACCTTAGTAACACCCCTCCAGATAAAAAAGTTGCTACTACGACTAAACTCCACTGCAACCATTCAATTTGAATTGTCCAAAAAAAAGCTACAGGAATATAAATAGCCAAAGAATAACCATAAAGGCATATAAGTTCTAAAAGACCAGGAGTTGCATAAGACTAAAATAAAAGAATATTTCTTTGAAAATTATTATATACTTAAAAAAAAATAAATAGACAATATCAAACCTCAATTAATTCCTCCTCTGTATCTCTTGTGCTTGTAGTCCATTTTAGAGCTCCCCACAAAGTAAGTGGTAATAACCATGCATATAAAAATATACAGGTTGCAGCGTAAGATACAATATGAAATTCATACCTCCAATGATATTTACTTGAATTAGCTGTTTGTAAATAATCAGCCAGATTTCCACTAATGGCAATAGAAAATATTAGTGTAACACAAATCCAAAAGGGACCATAAAGATCTGGATTTGGTCTAATATGGGATATCAAATAATTTTCACTACCATGTGGAAACATAGATCTTTTAATTCTTTCTACCACATCATTTGTCTTTACATTAAAGAACTTTTGATAATACTCTATTGTCCAAAAATTGCGTGATGAATTGGCTAGAAAAGAAAAAATAAAATTTTAAAAACGTGTATAATCAGACATCTAATATTGAAAGTATTTTAAATTATAATATCTATTATGTAAATGACAATACGAATTAAATTCGTAAAATTATCTAAAACTGAATAAAAGATTTTAAAAGTATAAACCTTCATTTTTATCAGGCATTCCCTGAAGATCTTCGATAATACCAATGCCTGAAGTGTCACTTGAGAGGTTATTAAAACCTTGATGAGTGGTCGTGTTAATATCCAATTGTGCTTGAGTAATATTTCCTTCATGATTTATTGAAGGAAAATCTTGAAACGAAATAAACTGTGAATCACTTGCTTTTGATTGATTTCCATCCATAGCTATTTATTTTGTGTTGTTTTTTCCTATCCGTTTGACAAGGGCGCAGCATACATATTGTAAAAAAGATATATACGTACACGCAACTAATAATCAACCAATCGAAATTAAATATTAATTAATATTTATTGGTATATTTTTTTACATAATTTTTTATAAATTAATGGATATAAAAATAATATATATATATATATATATATATATATTCTATTATACGTATCAATAAACTTATACATTTAGAACAGTGTGTTGTCTTGATAGACAATATGTATATAGATAATATATATACAAAACAAATCTTGTTATATTTTTCAATCCTATATAAATAAAGATGTATAAAATTAACTTTCTATTATTAAAACAATTGTGAATAAATTAATAAAGTGATTAATATCCTTGATATGTTTATTTTAAGATATATTCTCATACTTCGTATTAAATTCGTATTTTTATTTTTAATATAATTAATGCAATCGTATGGTATATAAAAAAGATCGAGTAAATTAATTAATAATAATTATAATAATAAATGACTATGTAAAAAATCAATTTTTGTCATTAAATTTTTTTAAATTGCATCGATGCTTTATTATCCATATTGGTACTGATATATTGGACAGTAGCTGATTAGCTTTATGACAGTTTGAAGGATTTTTATCGAACCATTTTTTTTAAATATCAATTTGAACACTGAACAGTATTTTTTTAATAACATTATCAATAATGTATTTTATTGTATAAAATAAGATAATGTACGAAGGTAAAAAAATATTTCAAAATATGTTCTGTTTTTTAATCATTTGTAACTATTTTAAGATTATTTAAATTTTAATTATTTTATTCTTATTAATAATTAAAGAAGAATTTTATTATATATATTTACAAAATACTTAAATAAAAAAATAATTACTAATAAATACATTTAAATATTATTCATTTTTGAATAGGTTAGATAATTCATACTTTTTTATAAAATTGTATCCTTCTGGAATATTTGGCAGCAATCAACTACTGAAAACATGATACAACGAGCTCCTAATCTTCTGAAATTTCTTCAAAATATTAATTATTATAACAAAGAATGTTTATATATGTTTCAAGTGGGATATGCAAAAAGACATACTAGTACTTTGATAACATATAATTATAATATAGGAGGTAAATTGCATAGAATTGCAAATCCTCAAAAGATTTTTAATGCAAAAAAAAGAGAACATTCACAAAAATGGAGGTGGATTTTTGTTACAATGTCCAAGCCAATATCTGTCATAGCAAAAGTACAAAAAGAAGATACAGGAAAGATAAATAAACAATCAGAAAATAATGTACAACAAACAATAATAGAATTAAAAGAAGAAAATTTGGGACAATTGAAAGAAAGAAAGTTAGATGTTAAACCTGATGAAGCTAAAGAAGGCCAACAAAATTTGAAGACAGAAGGTACAGAAGGAAATATAGTCAAAAAAGTATAGTAAAAAATTTTTTTATTGATTTTTAATTTTTTTTAAAAATCATTATATGTTTTTATTTTTGCTATTATTTATATTCATATATTTAATATCATATATTTATTTATAGCTAAAAAGAAAAAGATGGATAAAAAAGTATCATCTTTAGAACGTAATTTTATTACACCAGTTAGAGCTATGTCTGATTTTTTATTGAAACCATCTGATCTTGAAAATCTACCAAAGACAAAAAGAAGATCACCTTATGAATTTGAACCTCCAATTACTGTTTATTGGAGAAAAGATGTAGAAGCTAAGTAAGATATATATTTTAAGTGAAATATAATGAAATAATCATTCTTATAATAAAAATTACACAATAACATTTAAGATTCTGTAATTACTTTCAGAGCAATAGAAGTTTGGGGATCACGAGAAATTTTAGAAAAAGAACTTCTTAAAAAAGAACTTGAACGGAAAGCATATCAGCAAAGTAAGGATAAAATTCTTTTTTTTTAAATATAATAAATTTTAAATTTTTGTATATATATTTCTATGTATTTTTAAGATTAAATCTTTATAAATAGATTAATATATTATTTAAATTATAGTTAAAGCTTTATTTCATTTCCTTTTTACAGATTTATTTTCATTTATATTTCATTTAGTTTTCATTTATTTTATAATCATTTTCATGCATTAATTAATCTTTTAACTTAAATATTTTATCATTTCATAGATATATTTACTGTCAAACGAAGATTAAGAGATTATAGACGAGAAATGGGTAGTAAAACCCAAATTTTTGAACAAGAAGGCCTTCTTGGAAGATCTGGTAAAGTGGTTTTAACTGCTATTGCCATGTAAGTACTATTCTTCATTTATATTTGAAAATATTTCTTTTCTTCTATTAAATTAATCTTATTAAATTAATCTTTAATACATTTTTTAGAAATGGTTGTAATTTTTTATTTAAATTGTGTGCTTGGTTGTACACTGGTTCGCACAGTATGTTTTCAGAATGTGTACATTCTGCTGCAGATACATGTAATCAGTTAATATTAGCATATGGTATTCATAAATCAGTACAAGTATGTATATTATGTCATATGAAATTAAATATGTACACATATAATTATATATATAATTATATATATAAAATATTATAATTATATTATATTTGAAATTTTTTTTTTTAGACTCCTAACCCTGATCATCCATATGGTTATACAAATATGAGATATGTATCTTCTTTAATATCTGGTGTTGGTATCTTTTGTGTTGGAACTGGTCTATCGATTTATCATGGAATCCATGGTCTTTTTTATCCTTCGCCAATAGAATCCTTTTATTGGGCATATTTTATAATATTTGGTTCTTTAGTATCAGAAGGAGCAACTTTATTAGTAGCAATACAATCAATAAAAAGAGGAGCGGAAGAAAAACGACAGACATTTAAAGAATATGTATTAGCAGGACAAGATCCATCCGTGAATGTTGTACTCACGGAAGATTTAGCAGCGGTATTTATTAGATAAAAAAAAAAAAAAGAATAGAATTAAATATAATTGAACATAAAATATTCTTTTAAAATTTATAGGTGATTGGTCTTGTATGCGCAGCCGCCTGCATGGGTTTAACTTCTCTTTTAGAAAATCCAATGTTTGACGCAATTGGATCTCTTTTGGTTGGTGGTCTACTTGGTGCAGTAGCTGGATTTATAATACATACAAATGCTGCTGCTTTAATTGGAAGAAGCATATCTCAAGAAGATCTTGACAAAATTAACGCGGAATTGGAATCGGATATAATGGTAATATTTTTATCTTTGTATTTTATTAATTATAATTTTGAATAATTTTATTTAAATTAATTATTTATCAGGTTCGAGCAATTTATGACGTTAAGGGTATCGATATGGGTAATAATTTAGTTCGGTACAAGGCTGAATTAGATTTTGATGGAAGAGAATTAACAAGATCTTATTTAGAGAAACATGATCTTGTCGTAATGTTAAAGGTAATAGTCTTACATCCAAGAAATATTATATTAATTTAAAAATTTTATTCTATTCTTTAGGAAGTAACAGGCATGACAGATATAAAAGAATTGGAAGCATTTATGTTAAAACATGGAGAAGCTATTGTAGATATGCTTGGTGGAGAAATAGATAGAATGGAACTGAATTTAAAGGTATTTTAAAAAAATTTTATATCAATTTTTAATTTCTTGGTATATAATTTATTGTTATTTTTTAATAATAATTTTAATTTTTTTTCTTATTTTTAGAAAAAACATCCAGAGATTCGACATTGCGACTTGGAAATTTTGTAAATGTTTCTACACAATAAAACAGAACTAATAAATTAAACGTAAACTTTAATGTAAATAATGTTTTATAAAATTTGCGCAATGTATCGTATTTACTTTGTTGTATTTACATAATATTTATATAGATAGTATGCTTATTTTTCTTTATATACCAAAAAAAAAGCTAAATAAATGAATTTCTTATATATATATATATATATATATTATATACTATAATATATACATATATATATATATATACTATATACTATAATATATATGTTTCATATTTAATTTACCTTTAGATTTGTCATAATTATTGTAAAAAAAAATTGATGTCCTTAATTATCGATTTTCTCTATGTACTTATATATTTTAATGTATTGACAACAAACCGTTACTATAGTAACTTTCCCTATTTACGGAGGAATTACGGAGGAATACGCTGGTTATTAAACTGTTCTTATTTCTAGTGAAGCGAATATATTTAAATATAATGTGTTCTAATTATGATACAATAAGATTCAAATCGAATGAAGAATCGGTAGAATGAGTCGGTCAGCCGAAAGAATTCCAAAACGATGGAATATCTCGGAAATTCCACGCAGGAATGAATCAAGCAATACCGAGGAGTCTTCGTCACTTACCGACAGTACTCGGTATTCACCGTATCTTCAGAATACTAGCACACCCCTTAAAACTAGAAGGACAAATTTAGAAGAAATCAAAAAATCTCGAAGAGGACAAGAAAAATTTGAAGATATCGAAAAAGCGTCCTTTAACAAAAAAAGATTGGAAAGATTTCAGAAACATAGAAAACATATTAGTCGAAGAAAACAAGACAATGAAAGAGTTATTGAGAAGCAAAAAGAAGAACACAATCGACGTGATAAACGAAAACATGAATATTCTGAGGATTTTGGGGAAAAGAAGCAAAACAAAACGGATTCTGATTCAGAGTCTGATTCGGATAAAAATTATAGTGAAAGTGATTTGGAGAAATCGAAAAGAAAAAAACATGATTTTATAGGTAAAAGTAAATTGAATAGTTTTAATAAAAAATTAAAATATTGAATATAAATTTATTTTTGTTTTATTAGGAGATAATGAATTGCCGATTACAGAAATCTTAAGAAGATCACAAGAAAATACACAAAATAAATATGAAGAACAAGCGTCATTTCCTGTATTAAATACAGATAAAGTTTATGTACAGTATAAAGGTGGTTTCACTACTATGAAAATGAATCCATCAAAAGATCTATCCATGAATTCTTCTAAAAATAAAAAAATCGAAAAAGACGCTGTTGATCCTATTGATAATCGAAGTTCTCCACCTATAAAAATAGCCATTTCGATTCAACAATTTTGGAAAAGAGCAGGTCTTTTATGTCAAGGTATTTTAGCTGGTACAGCATTAATGCATTTTATAACGGTACGTTTTTTTGATATAAAAAACTTCTTGTAATTGTATTTTAATTAATTTTATTTAATTTTTTTTCAGTTATGCACAGTTTTTAGTAATTCCATGGAATTTATTGTAAAATATTCAAAATATTCCGAAATTTATACAAATAATTTCTCATTTCTTATCGCTTTATGCATTGTGGCAACATTTGATAAGTAAATTTAATTTATTAAAAGACTAATTACTTTTCAAGTTTTTAAATAAGATTGTATTTTTTAGATTTGATTTGGCACGATTCGATATAGAGCATTTACGTGAGCTTTATTTCGATTATAATAAAGCAATAATCGCAGTTCCTTTGTATCTGACCATTTTTTGCCTTCATCAAGTTTGTGCAGAGATTGACAATAAATTAAGTTCAATCCATTATTATAATTCCAACATTTCTATATTGCAAAACGTAAATAAAAAATAATGTATTTGATTTTAAAGCAAAACATTTTTTTATATTAAATATATTTTAGGTCACTAATATTCAATCTCTTCTGGACGAATTAAATAGCTGGCAAAAAATATCCATCTCGAAAGATGTACTTGCAATGTTTGCATGGTTATTTGTTGCTCTTGGTACCAGGGACGATTCATTTTTAATATATCTACAGTCAATGAAAAAATATATAAACGATATTGAGACCTCTGGATAATAAATCAATTTCTTTGGGATAGATATTTACTTAATTTATATTACCATCATATGGCATAAGGATAGCAATAGGATAAGGATAGAGATAAAATAAAAATATGGAAATCAGCGCTATCTTCAGGATGCTGTAAATAATAAATAATAAATAATAACAAACAGTGATAAAAGGATAGAAATAGAATAAGAATTGATCATCGACGCCATCTTTTGAGTATCAAAAACATCTTTTCAAAAAGAGGATAAGATAGTACAAAGATTGAAAATCAGTGCCTCTTAAATATTTCTAAAAATATTCTTTGAAAAGAATATTTTTAATATTTAAAAAATGACGAACAATTCTTATTCTTTCTATTTTTCTTCTGTTATTTTCTATTCTTGATTAATTAGTTTTATTTATAGGACTCTGAAAATGGCGTTGATTCGTATATTTTTATTCTCTATCTTTTTTTTTTGCTGTTCTATTTGCGTATTTGTTGTACATTTATATATTCAAAAGACTGCTTCAATATGATTAACAATTGAATCGGCGTAATTTTAAATTCATGAATAATTCAACTATCTACTACATACTACATAAAAAATATCTACTACATAAAAATATGAATACAGTTCCATATATTGTATAAAAATATTTATGAAAAGATGTTAAAGAAATTATTTTTAAAATCTGTGGAGTTTATCATAGAATTGAATATAATTCTTACTCTCTAACATGTAAAATGTTTTGATCAGTATTTCAGAATATAGGATATGAAATTCTATTTATTAGTTAGGTATATCTTCGTATCATCTATGTTATCATTCTATTTATTATAATAACAATAAGAATAATGTATTTATATCTTACGATTATAGAATACACAACTGAATAAAGATTAAAAAATTGCACTTTTTTGGGAAGGCGTTGTTCTTTTCGAATATATTGAAGTAAAAGTTCTATCTTCAATAAGTTATGTTTTTTTAAGCTATATTAGAAATATTTAAGAAAATGCGATTCATACGATTTCAATATTTATTCGTAACAGAATAGGGTTTGATATGTACAATATTTATAAAGTTCTAAATTCTAACAGATAATACACATATATGTAATAAAATACCAATAAAGGATAAAATAACATTAAAAATAAAATAACATGTTGTAATAATAAAATATCTTCTTAGACTTTGTCTTGAGCGCGGCATCAAGTTGAGTCGACGATTACGTAAAAAAATTTTCAAGGTTTTCAAATAAAATAACAAAATGAAACAAGAGGATGCATTAAACTGTCACATCAAAAGAAGATTAACGTTAAATGCGTCGAATGCGTTTTCTTAAAACAAAATAAGGAAAGAGCATTCTTGCGTGCAATCGTCGATGCAACAAGTGCTCTCGTTGTACGACAAACTTTGCTATAAATAATGTGTGAAGGCTTTTATTAATCTGCGAAGCAACAGATAAATATATATACTATATATATATTATATTATTATATAATATATATATCATATACGAATAAATACTGTACGTACATTTACATCAGTTATCGGTTTTCTCTGCACGAATTTACAATCGGCGATATAATTTAAAATATTATCTCAACTTAACGCTAACTTTGTCAAGGCACTGTTTACAGTTCTATCCGAGGTCTCGATTCTATTGAAAACCATCGTCGTTCTTTTTTTTTTTTTTTTTTTTTTTTTTTTTTGTTTAAAAAAACATCGATATACATCCTCGACCTTTTCGATAAACGTTAAATCCGTTAAGTTCGTTTCAGTTGATCGAATAAAAATTCTCTTTTTACGAGAATAAAAAAACTAGAGGACGTGAGTGGTGATCGACTTTAACGGAATAGAAGGACGATCGTTTCGCTCGAACAATCGGATCTTTCTTTTCTCGGATATTTTTTTTTACTTTTTATTTATTTTTTTTGTTTTTATATTCGATTAAAAAGCAGGACGATAAAATGGTCCGTTTGATCGACAAATGGGGATCGTTTGGCCCCAAAGAACAGCGCCGTGTTTCGATCGCGACCATTGGAACACGTCGTCGTGACTTTTTTTTTTTTACTAGCTAAAGAACGCTAAACTCGCTCCTCGTAATCGTGTAATCTGTGTATATATACTTTTAGAAACATTTGTGCGAATTTGTTACGGCAGTATTCGACGAGACAGCGTGATTTGTACGAGCGGAAGAACGTTCGATTCGTAATCGAAGAGATCACTAGCCGCGAATATAAACGCTGGCATCGTGATCGATGTCGTTCCGTGTATAAAAACAGGAATGCCTCTCTGTTCCCTCCCCACGAGAAAACAGAAACGGCGTACAAAAACTTTGGATTAGAGCGCGATCTCTTTACGAAAATACGAATAATAACAAGTTCGAAAGGTGGAAATGTTTCGTTAAAATATTCTCTATAAAATTGTCATGGGTAATAAAAGGGGAGGAGGATAGTTATTCCGGGCAGTAGTCGAGAATTAATCGAGATTCATCATCCAGATAAAGGAGGAGAAATTGATGGACTCGTCTTCTCTTCCAACCAAATTTCGTTTGGTTACATCGAATAATTTGTCCTGCGATCTGCATTCACTTTTTTGTCTCGAATCTCGCGCTATACTGTACGCGAAAAAAAAAAAAGAAAGAAAGAAGAGAGAGAAAAGGAGTCCGACTTTAAAGATTCCTGTGGCTAAGGAGTATCATATGTCACGATGACGACTCGTGAACGTTTCCCCTCGCACACCGTTTTCCCTCCATTTTTCTCTTTCTACTCTCCCCTCTCCCTCTCTTTTTCTTTGCAGTCGTCCTCCGGGAGAGGGATAGAATCGAATAGAAATTCCACGAGTCCCTCTGGAACTCGGAGGGAAATTCAACGTGAAAAAGAAAAAAAGTAGGAAATGTTGAACGGCGAAGAAGGATTCCTCCCTCCTCTCTCCCCTTCCCGACGGCCGCTCCCCTCCCTCTTCTCTTTCCTTCCGTCCCAACGATCAAACGACTCCAGCGCCGTTCTGCATGTATCTGCACCAGGAACGGCCGTTATTGTTGCTCTCCTGTGTTTGCACCAGTTCTCAGTCGTCGAAGTCGTGCCTGAGCTTTATGTAGAGGCACGAGCCGAGCACGATGCCGAACAGCTCGAGGACCGACAATCCCAGGCCAACAGCCCCGAGGATGATCAGGTGATCCTTCGTCGTCTCGAGAAACTTGTAGATACAACCCTGAATATTGAATTGAATCTTTATTGATCTCTCTCGTGGATCGATTTTATTTCATCGATATTCGATCTTTCGAGCTTTCAAGTCTATATAATGTAATGATAATATTGACAAAGATATTGGCGGGTGAAAGTCGATCGGTACCGTGTAATGGATGTTAGACGGATGATCCCTCCTTCCGCAGAGGAAGGTCGGTGTTTTGCAACAGCTATCCGGCACGAGGCTCCCATTCTTGAGGACATTCTCGTCCTTGTGCCACTCGCTCACCATCCAGTCCTCGAATCTCAGGGCACCGCAGCATTTGAACTGTGAAACATTCACCGTATAAAACAAACAACCGAACTATATATTTTTCCTACCGTTGCAAAAGAGAGGAAACCTCGGAATTCTCTCTCGCGCAGGAGGAAGGGGAAGTAGGGAGAAGGAGGAGAGTTGGGAAAAAGAGGGGAGAAAAATGGACGGATGTAAGGAGCAGCGGTTCTTCAGTCGCGGATCGATTCGCAAAAAGGACGAATCGTTCCGTCGCGATAACGATGATTTGCCTTTGTAAACGTAGCGGACAAGTAACAGGAGTGGTGGCGTATGTAGAGAGAAAAATGGGTGAGGCGATATCGTGGCCATGTAAGGCCAAACTCGTACGACCTAAGTTAACGACGTTCTCGGTTGCGTTGAGAGATAGAAAGAGAAAGAGAGAGAGGAAGGAAAGAATAAAAACAAAAACAGTCTCTCCGGTGAACTTGTATTGTAAACAATGATATATCCTCGCTGAAACGTTCGTTTCTAAAGAGAAGGATCGATCGGGGGAATACGTTTGAACGAAGAAGAAGCTTTAGAGAATTATGTTTTGCGAATAAACAAAAGGACACGTGAATTTAATAAATTCATATTCGCGAAATATTGGACGATTTCGATCGTTTCGATTTGTCTCGACTCGTTGCTACTCACCTCTATCTGCATCTGGTCGATCGCCGAAGTTTCCCTGCGCCTCACGGCGTAGTTCTCGAGGAAGGTGCGATTAAGGTTCATCTTCAATTCAGGACTGACTTGTTCCTCGTAGAGACGCGCCAAGGCACCGACACCCGCCTCCAGCACGAACACCAGCATCACCACGAACACGTACTGAGCACAAGGAGAGAAATTCGGATTAGAAGGAAATTGATCGATTCGAGTGTCGACGTTGCGTCGAGAATGAAAACGAACGAATACATGAACTCTTTCTGAGATACGATTATACGATTCGTTTTTCTTCCATCGTGTGAAAAGTGTGTCGTGAAGTAGAGAATCACGATGATGAAACCAAGAGTTGGACATTAATCCATTGAAAAAATAAAGTTACTTTTAAGTAATTATTTATTAAAATACTCGAATAACATTTGTTCGTATAAATAATTAAAGTAATTTTTTTTATTCGTAATTTCACTAACCGATTGCTAAGAAATTAAAAGATTTCTTCTCACTTGTCACGCGCTTTTCTTTAAATTTTTTGTTTAAAAAAAAAAAAAGTCTAAATCATTGGAGATTCATTGGATTTCGTATAGTCATTCGAACGAATGTTAAACTCGTCAACTCGATGACTTTCTCTCTCGGATTCGTTTCGCGAAACGCGGCCATTTTCAGGTTGATTAACGAAAACGGATCGAAGAGCGGCCATTGAGATTTGCGTTCTCCTCTGAAAGCAACCTCCTCTTTCCACCTACGATATCCACGATCGTCGATTCCCTAACGACTTCCGCGTCTCCAAAAGCGGAAAATCGCGGTTAATGCTCGCCGAGGGAAAGGCGTAAATCCTGCACGGTAGTCTCGAGTTTTGTCCTGCGGCCCGTTAACGGATCGGTTCCCTCGATACCCATCGAACGTGAATCACTCGTACCGATCGAGATCGTTTCTTCCTCGATACTCTGCTCGTTCGTACGTGTCACGGAAAGGAGAATATTTCGATCGTGAAATAGAAAATCACAATGATTGACTGGAACTGATTCAATTGCGTAAATGCGTTTTTTTCGCAATTAAGAGATTTGTATGCATTTTTATTTAAATTTTGGAAAAAATAGTAGCGGAATAATGGAAAGATGTGGTGGAAGGATTAGATAAGAAAAAAGGAAGTTTTCAAGCGTCTAGTTTCTTGGAACGAGTCGATTAATAATCGTGCACGATTATTCGAGCCGAGCTCCGAGTTGAGAACGTGTTCGCCAACCTGTTTTCTTTCCGTCGTCCGCCGCGATGAGTTATGCCAAGCTTGTCAACAGCCTGCTAACACGCGACCAATAAATCGAGCTTCCCCTAATTTTTAGACAAATAAACTCAGGGGATAAACTCGTAAGTAATAATTTGCTCCGTTTATCGTTCCTTCAAATTTTCAAATTATTTCATTTTTATTATCTTCCTTATTTGGATTTTCGAAAAAATATGACTAATTCATTATTCATTCGTGCATTCGTAGTCTGCATCGATGATAGGTTATCCGGTGTGATTTTCATAAATTTTCGAATTGTATAGCCAATTTGCGATCTTTCGAATTAATTTCTCCATAAATTTGATTTTTGTGATCTTTATTGAAAAATGGATTTATAATTCGTATAATTTTCTCAAATTCTCGAATTCACGATCTTTCGAACAAATTCCTGCGCAAATTCGAATTAAAACATTCGATTCTTTGGTAATCTTTGTTGGAAAAATGGATTCATAATTCTGATGCAGCTTTCTCAAATTGTATAGCCAACTCTTTGATCTATCGAACAAATTTTTTCACAAATTCGAATTCTTCTCGAAAGAGATCGATTTTCACCCGAGAAATGGAATCACGATACTCGGAATCTAAATCTTCGTAACTAAAACTTTTTCTCCACGGCCGTGGGATCTCCGTGGACGCCGCTTAGTTCCGCTGCGCGAAACGTTTAGAATTTTCATGAATATAAATCCTCGTCGCGCCGTCGACCTGTCCGCAATGAATATTCAAACCGTCAGCCAGAACTAGCCGTGGTCGACGATCGACGAAAAGTTTCCATCGAGTCGAGCAACGAGGAGCAATGCTTCTCGCCAAAAATTTCTCCCCAAATCGCAGCCTTTATCTCCTTCCCTCCCTCTTTTAATAAATAAATAAATATATATTCGATTAAAAAAGAAATCGACGTGGGAAAAAAAAGAAAAGAAAAAGCGATGAAATTTCGCGGAAGAGAATTGGATTCGAAGAAACTGATTAAACGCCAACGCGGACGGGATTATACGGGGACACGTTGACGCGCACGTGGCTCAATTTAAATTCAATGTACATTGGGCGGGACGTGTAAGTACGTTGCAGTGGCCGCAGGATCGGAACACGGGACAATTGACAGTTTAGAATTGGATGGAAGCGGTCGATCATGAAACAGTGACCGCGGTCGCGGCAATCACCGCCGATATCCGGGGACAGTGCAAATAAATCGATCCCGCGGGCAGGAGAGGTGCGGTGCCCGCGTCGGTGCATCGATTCCATTTGAAAGTGACGCGCGCGATCAAAGCGGAAAACGAAAACAACGGGTGCCGCCAAAAAAAAAAAATCTCGAGGTTCGGTGGGAAAACTTTCACAATCGGATGTATTATTGTTCTTCTCTCGATCACGCTGTCGATCGTGCAATTATTTTAGGATAAATATTTAAGGGAAGAATATTATTATTATTCGTGAAGATTAATTCGAATCTAGTGTAAATTATGAAACTAGAAATTGGATTAATTTTTTTGTTTGTTTGTTTGTTTGTTCGATCTCAATTTCTGAAATTGAATAATGTCTAACTGGCGGCCAATTTAATTTGGTTTTAGAAATCTGTTTCTGAAGAAATATTTTCGTTAATAACTTTTTAACAAAAAACGACCGCCAAATGGTAAAATCATCTTCGCGATGAAGACGATCGAGATTGAAAGATAAAGTAATCTTTTTGTGAATAATTATCTACCTCAAAAGTTATGAAATAATTTTCGAGGAATTTAATGATTCGTGTAAAATGAAAATTTTTCGATTCGGTTTCTAATTTTTCCCGCGCAAAGTCGGACTACTTTCCTTAAAAATACGGGAGGAGGGAAAGATACGAAGAGAACACGGTTCGTTATCTGGATTTTAGGTAAAAATTTTAATTGACCGGCCGTATATGGGCTCGGCTAATGAGACGATTCGCTCGTGGCATCGTGCGCGCAGGTGGTGAAAGGGAGGGGAGGAGAGAGGTATGGGAAAGGAGAGGCAAAAGGTTGGCCGAAACAACAACCTTTCGCGTGACCGATTCCTCGATTCGATCCTCTTTTCTCCTGGGGAAAATCTCTCGTCGAGGATAATAAAAATTTTTTTCTAACTTTCGTTCTGTGGTTCTAGGGAAGGAGTAAAAAGGATATTGTAAAAATTACAGATGATATTAAAACCACGTCCACACTTGTCGACGCGATCAACTCTGCGTTGAATCCAAGCGAAGCAGAAAATGGAGGGGAATGGAAATCAAGGTTTTTTCCAATGGAGCGGAATCGACGATTTTAGTCGCGCCATTGATGTAACAGCTTTCTCTCTTTGATTCGTGTTATTAAGGAGGAGTAACGATGATAAAACGGGACGGAAAATGGGAAAATTCAAGGAAATAATCGCGAAACGAGAACCGGAAAGGAAACGATATCGTCACTTTTTTTTTTTACCATGGTTTGATCCGAACAGAAGAATTCACTAGTCGAAGTGAAACGAGAAATTGGAACTTTGCTTTCGTTCCTTTGTTCGTTTTTCCAGACATGCCATAGCGACGTTTTGCTCCGGAGGACATTGCTTCCAGGGTTCTCTCGAGGATCTCCTCCATCGGGGACACGATCTAACGAGAAGATTTACAAGTCCTCGAGTAGAAACAGAGATCTGAACGTGTCCAAGTGTTCCCTAGGAGAGGTACGAAATAATCCTCGTACGTTTGTTGGAGAAGATTTCGAGCAGCGGTCGGATGGCTTCTTCAGCTAGCGGCGCGCAATTAAGGCAAGGTTAAATCTGAAATGATCGAATTCTCGAGAATTCGGCTCGCAAAAAAAAAAAAAAAAAAGGAAAGAGATCTGAAAGAATTGAAAATTCTTCTAATGTCAAATTTCGAATCATTTATCGTTATATTATCATACGAATTATGATCTCGACGATTTTCAATATCCTAGAAAGTGTTTTTGAATAGTAAAGATTTCGATTGAGAATTGGAGAGAAAGGATATCTTGTTAGTGTATTTAAAATTTTTCATCGATATGATGCAGATATAGTAAGTGTCTCGATAATGAGGTGTCCTGATTTTGACAAGTAATATCCTCGAAAATCTTCCCAAAAAGTAAAGATTTTGATTGAGAATTCCAAAAAAGAATATCTTGTTGGTGTATTTAACATTTTTTCATCAACTTTCGAACCATTTATCGTTACATTATTATACAAACTATGATCAGAAATAGATCGCATATCTTGATAACGAAATATCCTGACTTTAACAAGTAATATCCTCGCAAGTGTTTTTGAAAAGTAAAGATTGAGAATTCGAAAAAAGGATATCTTGTTAATATATCTAAAATTTTTCATCGATCTTCGAAATAATTTATCATTATTATACCAATTGTGATAAATAATATATCTCGATAACGAAGTATCCTAATTTTGACAATATCCTCGGAAGTATTCCCAAAAAATTTCGATTCATCTATTTTCAAACAATTTACCATTACAATTTACCATACATACGAACTATGATCAGAAATAGGTACGTATCCTAATTTTGACAATATTCTCGAAGATATTCCCAAAAAGTAAAGATTTCGATTGAAAATTCGAAAAAAAAAAAAGAATATCTTATCGCTATATCTAACATTTTTCCATCAATTTACTATTACAATTTACTATACATACGAATTATCCTCAGAAATAGATATCCTAATTTTGACAATATCCTCGAAAATATTCCCAAAAAGTAAAGATTTCGATTGAAAAATTCGAGAAAAAAAGAGTATCTTGTCGCTATATCTAATATTTTTCCATCAATTTACTATTACAATTTACTATACATACGAACTATGCTCAGAAATAGATATCCTAATTTTGACAATATCCTCGGAAGTACTCCCAAAAAATAAAGATTTCGATTCATTTTTCAAAC